CTCCTGGAAAGAACGCTGCCAGCCACCCACCTGCACCCTGGCTGGTCAGGAGGGCTCTTCCTAGCAGAGTTCAGGGCAGCAGTCTCCCCGACAAGAAAAGCAAGAGAGGGCTGTGAAAGGGTCAGCGGAAGTTCCCTCACTTCAAATCTTTCCTGTTTCCTCTGGCCCCTGCTTTCACCACCACGGGACTCAGCGTGGCCTACGAGCGGTGTGCCTAATCTAGCTGGAATTTCCTCCTCCGCCCACCTGGCATTCTCCCCACTCTCTTTTGCACTCCCAACCCGGGGTTCTCACATCCACCCCAAGTGCAAGGCCAGGCGACCACGCCACTTGTCACTTTGGAGCACCAGGAAGAAGGTCATGGAAAACCAGCTGCAAACCCCAGGTGGAAAGGAACAAGCACTTGCTGACCGTTTGGTAAAGCCCTAGAGAGTCCCCATGCATTCTCCCTCCTGCCACTGCGGGGGCTCAGAGCTGACAGGAGAAAACATGCAGCCGAGGGTCCCAGGAGCCTGGCCGTTCACAGATTAGTGAACACTCACATCCCACCACTGTCAAACTAGCTGAGAGAGGACACAGAAAGGGGCAGAAAAGTTGCCAAAGGTCTTCCAACACCTATTTAGTAACCACGGGCTGATGTCAGTGGAAGCTTGAGAGATATCAGTGATCATCAGGTTCAGTTTTTCATACTTTTTTGGCCATAACCCCACAGCCCAAAGAGCACTTTACACAGCCACTCAGGAACACACACATACACACAAAACCCAACAGAATTTCATGGAACAACACTTCCCTTTACTGCATGTCATGCATGCTTGTATCCTATACTCTCACCCATTTGTCTTTTTAAAAATGTTGATCCTGCTAATGGGTCACGACCCAAAGTTTGAAATACACAAGTTCTTTAAGTGGCATTGGGGGTGAATGAGACTTTATGGGAAAGAGTATTGAATATTATAATTTTAAGCATCATCAAGGCTAGCTTTCTGCACTTGTACCATAAAACCAAGTAGCTTGTTTGAGCTCTATGGTCCACACTATCTAAGAGAGAAAAACTGGGAAAAGCAGGCCCAGCTGACACTCATTTAACTTCTCAGCATCACAGTGAAAAATGCATGCCTTAGAAAAATCACAGAAAACTTTCCTTTCAAGACGCAGTTTACGCTGATGTGGCTTCAACTGACATAATTACCTGAAATTTCAAGTAACATAAAAGAGGACAATGGGTGTTCTGTGTTTATAGAAAGGGGGGTAGGTTAAAAATGAGGAGATATACTGAACTGGTCCACAGCCCCCATTTTATTTACGGGTGACAAAACTAAGGGACAGAACAGTGCCTAAGGCATGAAGCAAGTTAGGGGCAGGGCTTGAAATCCAACCCAGGGCTCAATTACTCACAGTCTCCATCATCCAAAATATTTAAAAACACAGTCTAAGGTCTCTCCAAGTGAAGCTTTGCCATGACTGAAGCATGGATGAGTCCCTGATATCTCATGCTGGGCACAGACAACTGTGCTGATCTTGGCAGACCTTGGCACTCTGCGCAGCCTCACTGGGGTTCTGCAAAGGGGCTCACACACTTAACTCTCTCTGTGCCTCTTGTCTCAGCTGAAAAAATATAAAAGAATAAGCCTTGCTACCCCTTCCAAAAATGTAGCAAAAAGTGAGACATACTTTAAACCTGCATGCTTAAAAAAGAAACCCTATGGGTCATTTATTCAGGGTCAGAGTTAGACTCCCAGAACCCAGAAGACCTTAGCTGACCCATGCCTTCATTTTACAATCAAACCCCATAAGGTGACAGCCAGACCAGCTCCTTCTACCACACACACTATGTTAACCCGTCCACTGGTGAAAACTGCCAGGGAAAGTAATACTAAGTACACAATATACCAGCATCTAAGGCAGGAGGAGGGTAGGGAGGAGACTAAACATAGATCACACAATTTAAATACGTGAGACAAATGTCTCTTTACAGTGTCCAAGGGAGCTCAAAAGGCATGACTAATTTTCACTAATCCTAAAGATAAGCTAAAATGATGCTCTGAACCAAACTCAGGGAGCTCAGAGGCCAAGGGCGTCCCAAGTGGTAGAGTTCCTTGATGGAACATTCATCTCCCCGACCCTGTGGGTCTGATGCCTGCTCAAATAACATCTCTCTGCTCCTAACTTTCCCTACACTCTGTCCAAGGCACTTGAGACAATGGCTTCAAATATGGGGAATTTTATTACATGGGAGGGATTCTTTCCTATACAAATGCCACTTGGTCTCTGTCCAGGGTGTTTGGTGGAGGAGCTCAGTAAACCTAACAGACAAGATCTCCCCCATCCCCTCCGTAACCATGGCAAGCAAGGACCATTCCTCTAATTCCCCACAGGGACACTGAAGGGACCGAAAGGGTGATGGCTCAGACCCAACAGCACAGACCCTGGGCCTCACCTTACTGTGAATGCCCCTGCCTTCTCTCACTGGACCGGTGCCTCTCCAGCCACTGAATGCCAGCTCTGAGAGCTGCCCAGGCAGGGAAACCCTCTGAGTTAGACATTCTGGCCTTCACAAGGCTCACATGGGGCCAGCATCAGCAATAAGATACAGCAGCCGGGAAGGGGAAGGGAGGGCTTTGTGAGCCTGCCTTTCAAGATAAATGCCACCTAGAGAGGGCCCCAATTTCCAAAGCACAATGGGGCTGGAGTCAGAGGATACAGGTGGAGTATGAGCCTGGGCAAGTTAATCAGTTCATCTCTCTCTGTACCTTGGTTTCTTCATCTGTTAATTGCCAGGGTTGCTGTATGAATTAGATGAGTTATGCCTACACAGATGCAATGTGTCAATAGTAGCATAACTTCCCTGCACTAGTCTATCCCTAGGCATTCGGTGTCCTGAACAAACTGACAGAGGGCACTCTGTCAGACATACAGCATCTGTCTGGCTAAAGCTGTCTCCTTGCAGAAATGCACTTAAAACTACACGAGGAAGTGTCGGGCAAACTGAGTGCCCATTACACACCCCACATTTAAGGGATATATAACACACACTCTCCCTGCCTGCCCACCTCCCTGCTACAGAAAGAGAAGGCAAATGTCACTGCAGGTCTCATTGCCTCCCTGCTGTTCAAACTCCAGGGGAAGAGGTGCAGAAACACTAAGGACAGGAGATCACACCGGGCGCCGCCAAACCTGCACCCCCAAGAGAGCTGCCAAACCCAATAGGACCCCTGCCACCCCCACGGCCCCCAAAAGACCCGGGGAGCAGCAGCCACACGCCGGGGCGGGAAGGCACGCGGCCCGTCGGGG